AGTCTGTTCATGCCTCGTCAAGTCTGTGTCTCTAGTCTTCGTCTGTTTAGATTTCACCTTGTTTTGAATAAAGTGCACTTGGGTTCTTCACTACGCTCGCCTTCAGTGGACTAATTCGTTACAATAACATTCCCCAAGCAAGTTATAGCCATTTATTACAATATTGTTATAGGCGCTTTTCAGTGAAAAACAGGTCTATTTAGTTTACTAACAATATAGATGTGTCCAAAAAAAAACAAACAAAAAAAACGTTTAGGGAGTAAAGAAAATGGAATCCTTGTTATATAATAACAAAACACAGTAAAAAAGTGACTTTTTTTCAGAGAAATATATTTTCAATCTGAGTATGAACAACAACAAACACAAACCGTGCAGATATTTAGTGAAAACAATTTCACAAATTGTCTTCTGCAACAAACATACAAACAGTGCAAATGATTCACACACTACACACAAAATGAGTGAGACATATACAGAGTGCAACAGAAAAAAAGTGAAAATGATCTTTATGAACCATATAAGAATTATTTACATATTATACATAATATAAATGATCCATCCGCTGGCTGTACTCTGCGTTGGAATCGAATTTACCGGGACATCACCTAGCGATGCGAAGACATAAATTCCAGTGCTTTATCCGATATGTACCGTTGTTTTTGGTTTGTATTATGTCAAAGTACTCAGTCGTGTGTTTTTTGTGGCTTTTTCAGAGAGTTCTCTCATGCAAATGTGTTATTTTGTGTTTGTTTTCATGCACGCACGACAGACTTTAATTTCACTTTGCGTTTGTTCGACTTTCCAGTGAAAAATCCTAAATAGTGGTTCAAAAGACCAAAACCTATGTTTATTGGTTGAATATGGGACCGTTTGAACCAATCTGGGCACGGGGGTGGGACTAAGCATCAACAATCGTTCCTGTTTGGCTCAGAGGAGCGAAATGCATTGGTTTCTTCTGACAAATCAATGTTGTCAAAATGTGATGACGTAATCACGTCCACTACGGAGCCTCTGAATATCCAAATAAGACAAATGAGGAATCGCCGCTTTACAACAATTTTTGGGATTAGGATTAGCGGTTCAAAAGTTATTAAACATTTAAGAACAATAGTTATTTTTTAGACGCGGGCGGCTGTCTCGGTCTTTGAGGGTTAATGGAGAATGTGACAATAAAACTAATAATTAATAACTATTTTTTTGCTCATTGTGACTCATTTTGCCAGCATTGGTTACAAATGTTTGTTTAAAGTGTCAGTTTTTGCATTATGATTAGTCAAACACACACACAGTCGAGTCTAAAAACTATTAAAATGCGTCTGGAGTCCCAGTCACTAACTCAAGTGGCTATCTCTGATATGTGGCCCCTGTATGTAGGTACTTATTTATTTTTAAGGTTATAGGCAGTGAGTAAGCGCAAATCATTTTTAACATCTCAACTACAGTCTGTTAGGTAAGGTTTTGACAGCCGTTTTTGTCTTTAACACTTTTTTTTCTCCACCAGTCAGCAACTTTCATCTCTCACTGGATAATGACCAGTCCAGTGAGTGAAAACTACCGGTTCATAAATATTCCTTGTCATTTGGATGAGGACCACCTGGACTGGCCCCAGCTCTCAGTACAATAATGCAAGGCCTGTTCCTCAGATGAGAACTTTAGTGTGTGAAAAGGAAGGACTTTTTTTGTTTACTCTGAGATTTTTCCAGGCTGTATAAAGACCTCCATGGCTGCCACAATTATCTGAGATGGCACCATGTAAACAGGCTTCACCAACTCTTTTGGATCCCAGAGCTTAAGCTATGTCCATGATCACTTATCCGATTTTAATTACAGCTGCCTAACGAGAGTCTCACTCTTTCTTTCTTGTTTACATCCTCCGTATTCTTGGACTGTGCAACGAGGTTCATCTACAACATTTCTTTTTTTTCTTCCCTCAATGTCAATTTAAATCCTCTGTTCACCCTGCTTAAAAGACCAGATTTGACCAGCATGGTTTGGTGATGGTTTAGCTTCTGGGCCAGCATAGCTATCCTGTTCACCAGCAGTACTCTGGTTGACCAAAATGGTCTTTCTGGTGAAGCTAATTGATCAAATATTGCTGGTTAATTAAAATGTCTAGTGGGAAAATCAGCACAGCAGCATCATAAAATGGAGACTGGAAACTGGAGAGCAGCCACTGGCCCATGTCCCATGTCAGGCCCACATTTATGTTGTTCCTGTATATCAGAACAGATAGTGTTAGAATGTGTCAGAAAAAATGTTAGAAATGTAACTTTTTCTCAGCAAAAACACATAAATATACACTCTTAAAAGAAGCTGGGTTAAAAACAACCCAACGTGGGTTATTTGGCAACCCAGTGCTGGGTAAATGTTGGACAGAACACATGCTGGGTTATTTTGACCCAGCTGGTTGGGTTATATGTTTTTACCCACCATACTGGGTTGTTTAAATTATTGTTTAAAAATTATTATATTGCAGCCTTAAAATGGGCTGGAAATTAAAAATCACACACAGAATAACTATAGGTGACAGCAATAATCAAAAGATGAACATTTATTATTAAGCAAGAACACCCATGGACAAAATACAGCATAGTTTACAATATTACATACATTTAAACTCGTTTAACAAGCATTTTAGAAATAAAAAAGGCATATAGAAGTAGCATTTTAATTTAAGTATATTCAACCGTTCTCTGTAATCGCTTTTTACCAAAATAGTGCTAATTCTCATCCCGGTGTGTCGCCGAAATCTGAGCCGGTGAAGGGCTGCTGTTCGCGGGGGAACTGCGAACTTTAGAACGCGGCCTCGCGTTTCACTCATAGCTGAGAGATGCCGTGACTGATTCCAAAACCTGCCCAAAAACAAACAGTACTGAGATTAGAGAACATATTTTAACATCAAATTAAATTAAACGACTGACTGACGCAGCTGACTGACATCTCATCCTTATGTTGCGTTGCATAAAATAATATAATTTACACCACATTAAAGACTTTATAAATTAAATAAAATGTATACAAACCTTTATTTCCCTGAAAGAGTGCACCAAATTGGCGGTGGCGCTGTGGCGCTGAGAACTGAACTCTCCTGTGAACTTAAAAAGCCCATGCTCTCAGCAGTTGCATTGTTGAAAAGTTTCACCGGATACAGGGTCAACCCAGCGGTTAGGTAGAAAAAAATAACCCAGCGTTAAAATGACCCAGCACCCGGGTAAAAATATTAAAAATAACCCAATAAAATGACCCAACAACAAGCTGAACCCAGTGTTTGGGTTAAAAAAAATAACCTAGCATTTTTTAGAGTGTATGCTTCACATCTGCTGGCTTGTGATATCCAGGGAGCAGCTCCCTTTGGTGATGTGCTGCCATTCATCTGGCATGTGCCTCTTTTTTGGGGATTACAATCACTCCATGGGTGTTAGAGCATGATTGCTGCTTTTCAGAGTTCTGTTTTGCAAGTTGCACCTCTTCTCTTCTCTTCTCTTCTCTTCTCTTCTCTTCTCTTCTCTTCTCTATTGATCTAATTTCTTCTCATTTCACTCTCTTCTGTCTTCTTTTTAATTTGCTCTTCTCTTCTCTTCTCTTCTGATTCCCTTTCATTTTCTCATTCTCTCATTTCTCTTTCATCTTTGCAGAGCTAGTATTGTTCAGAGGAAGATCATCTCATTCCAGGATGAAGGCTCACTCACGAAGCGGATGTGTGAGAAAAGTGAGTCTTTCATTACTCCCAGCTAGTTGGTTTGGCACATTACAAGCAGCACTTCTATGAGATGTTATTTCAGTGTATGGTGCTTTTTTTCTCCTTTCTCTTTTTCTCTCCCCCAATTTGGCTCCTCATATACCTGTTCTTATTTGAGCGCTTGTTGTTTGTCAGGCTTGATCGTTAGAGCAATCCATTTTGGAAAGAAAGAAAGAAAAAGAAAGAAAGAAAGAAAGAAAGAAAGAAAGAAAGAAAGAAAGAAAGAAAGAAAGAAAGAATGTTTATACCAGCATTAGTTTCCATAGGTTCTAGGTTGATTACCTTCTAACCCATAGGTGTCAAATCCTGCTCCTGGAGGGCCACTTTTCTGTCTCAAAACCTTACATGCATTGTATGATGTAGTGAATCTTCAAAGGTTATATACTTGTGTAAGTGGTTTTACTGAGCCTTTACTAGTGCAGTATAGATAGATAGATGGATGGGTGGGTGGGTGGATGGATGGATGGATGGATAGATAGATAGATAGATACAACAATTTTGATTATAAATATTTGTAATAATCCAGCCACCCTCCCTTGTCTTTAGAGCCACTTTATGGAGAAACCACAGACAAACCCCTGCTGGACTGCTGTGCCTGTGGAACTGCCAAATACAGAGTCACCTTCTACGGGAACTGGTCAGAGAAATTGCACCCAAAAGACTACCCAAGTAAGACACTATGTCCTCAATAACATGTGAAGTGTGTACTTTTTTCAATGTTAAAAAGATAGATAGATAGATAGATAGATACAACAATTTTAATTATAAATATTTGTAATAATCCAGCCACCCTCCCTTGTCTTTAGAGCCACTTTATGGAGAAACCACAGACAAACCCCTGCTGGACTGCTGTGCCTGTGGAACTGCCAAATACAGAGTCACCTTCTACGGGAACTGGTCAGAGAAATTGCACCCAAAAGACTACCCAAGTAAGACACTATGTCCTCAATAACATGTGAAGTGTGTACTTTTTTCAATGTTAAAATAGTTTCTCCTATCCCAGTTTACTGTGCAGAGACAGTGAGAATTAAGCCATTTAAACTTTGGAGCAAAACATGAATGATACCACAAATCATTGGGGTTGCTGTACATACTAACTTTACCCTTGGTTAGAATATTGTGTACAGACAATTTTTTTTTCAATAATAAGTTTGTAGTTTTTGTGGCTTGGATAGAGTCTATGCTTCATATAAAGACATATAAAATAGATCAACCTGTTAGAGCCACCTTTTTCAACTATCACTTTGAACTTGACATGTCCGGTGCACAAAACCTGTGATTTGTCTTAGCCACAGTGCAGTATGGTGCTTCTACTCTCCAAAGCTTTGGTTAAATTCTAATGCAATATGGGATATGAATGTTTTCAAGCTGTGTACTCACATGCTGATCAGTAAGTGACTACCCAGAACACCCTAGTAACCGCATAACAATGTGCTAAAAAAAAAACATCCTAACAACTGTATAGCAATGGCTGGCCCCTGAAAGCACCCTAGCATTATGACAGCTTTAATTTGTGCAGTAGAGAGCAGCACTAGTCGTTAAAAAAAATATGTAGGCTCGATCTACTTATATATCTATAGAAATGTTGTACATTTTGCAACAGACATTACTTTAGATGTGAAATATCTAATATCTGTGCAATCATTTCCTCATTATTTTCTCTTAGCACCTGTCCTCTCTTCTTGTCTTTTGTGGTTGGTGTGGATAACCTTGAGAGTGTCTCATTGGGAGTAAATTAAGCCTGGGGATTACAGTCATTCTCCACTTGAGCTTCTGCAGCTCAGATCAATACTCTGATTAGAATGTACTCTGGGAGCTAGATGAACCTGATAAAGAAAGTGTGGTGCCCTAATTTATGGGCTTAGGAAACAGTGAAAGACATACGAGTAAACAAACACACACACATGGGATTTATGATTATCACGTGTGCAAAAAACATTCCCATGTGCTAGTATAATTACATGTATCCTAAAGCATTTGTGTAAAACAAAACACACAAACATGCTGCTGTGGACATCTGGAATATATGCAGTCATTATCATTTCATGTTGATGTATTTGCATAAATAACTCTATAACCAGAGCAACTTTAATTAATCACAGCCAAAAGCACATATTATAATTTATCCCCATGCTACTTTCATTTAATCATTGAAGCACATCAATCAGTCATATTTTTTACTTTGTTGCTCAAATTAGGAAAAAAAAAATGCCTGTAGTGCTAATGGTGGAATTTGTGCGCAAAGGTTCAATACTTAGAGTAAGGGGTTTTGATACGCGTTTTCTTGGAATGCAGTGCTAATGATTGTGAATGATCCTTGCTTGCATAGCAGCGCTAATTAATTATGGCGAATCAGGTAATGGTGGTAATATCGCAATGTTGTCTTTGTAAATAAATAACTTTTTATAAGCATAATTTGCATATAAATAAGGCATGTTTGCACTGAAAAGAATGGCAGTGAGTGATTAGAATGCAAGGGGTTAGTGAAGAAGACACAGGTATTACTGTAAATGTCACCAACCAGATCTCATGAAAAACCGTAACCATTGTAGGGCCTCTGTGAACAGACACAAATGAACGATTGAATCTCTGCATTCCACCGGAAGAACTAAGGTCTCCTATAGGGCTGGACAATAATTCAATATCAATATGTATCGCGATATAATTTTTTTCAATAACGGTGATATGATTTTTA